CACTTGCTTCGTCCTCTTGGGCTCGGCTGCTCGGTGTTAACGGACCGTAATCTTGCCAGCAGAAAGTGGGGCGGTTAGCCGGGAGGCTATGGCGAGGTCATCCTCTTCTTGTTGGTTAGCTGTCTTTTCATAGCGTGGTTACCCCGGTCCTGCTTGGCCGCTGATTGTCAGTTGGTCCACCGGAGACGACGCGACCTTGGGGACGCTGTCATGGATTTGACTCGGTTGGCCGTGGATGCTGGTCAGTTCATCAACCGCGCTGTTCAGGTAATAATAATAATAATAATAATAATAATAATAAAGGAAACTATTATGTGTTTTTCCTGGGCTTTAATCTCAACCCTAAATCAGCGACTGCCCTTACTAAAAGAAAAGTGCGCAGTTAAGCAGTTTGTTAATCAATGTTACCCTGAAATTCGCTCCAGTACACTGGAGAGAGTCTCGGACAGGCCGAGAGGACTGAGTTGGACCCCGGACTGGAGGAGCTTTTATCACGGGCGGAAGCCACCAAGACGTGGACGGACCAGATAATCTCCCAGACTGAGGCTTTACTGCAGCCAAGCCTCGGTAGGAGAACATGAATTGATTTAATGAAGCTACCCTGATTCATGGAGCAGTTACAGATGTATACATACCCACTTCACTAACAGTTGGTCCTGTTTTTGCCACAATTAGCCCTGTTTTTATGATCCTGAACTCTAACCTGTTCACTGTATCCAAATATATAAAAGGTGAGAAAAAAGATCTGAGCATTTACTCTTTTAAAGTAAAACATCATCTCATTAAGAGTAATGGAGATGGTTTCCCTCTTCCAAGGAAGGTATTCTATGGAGTATTTTTTAAAGACATTTACAATGACGATGAGAAACATTTAGATGAACTGTAAATATTTATGAAGAAAATGCATCTGGGATGATACCAAGCAATTTCCAGCTGCCAACATACTGATAAAAGCAGAGTTATCAAATCCCATCAATTTACCATTGTAGTCCTGAGTTAGCTGAGAGTCTTTACCTCTGGGACCAATCGTTTTATTAGGTACATGCAGTTTGCCAGTACAGGGTTGGTTACCAAGCAGTTGAGCAGGAATACCTAATAAAGTGGCTAATGAGTACGTGCATTTTATTGATCTGCGAGAAGGATCTCAACTATTTTCACATGTTCATTTCTTTGCTTATTCTTGTCTTTTTTGTGTTATGAGTATATATTGAATATATTGAAAAGTCACTGTGTTGTATTTTTATCTTTCTCTGCTCAGGTACTGCATTGATAAGGTGTGGAGAGGCTCAGAAGCAGCTCGGCGAGGCGGAGAGGAAGTTTGTCCAAAGCACTAACATTCACTTTCTCACTCCCCTGCGGAGTTTCACTGAGGGGGAATACAAAGCCATACAGGTAAACGCATGCCTCTGT